AGCCACTACCACACAAACCCTTTCTTCTGTTAAATATTGGTTCAGCATGAGGGAATGGAGACTATACCCCTTAGGAGGCTAAATGAGAGAAACTTTTGCCTGATGGAGTAAAGCAACTTGACTCACCAGTTGAGGCTTTGCTGCCAAACTATTAAGTCTCCTAGCCTAAGGTGTCCAAGTCTCTTCTGGAAAAGGAATATAGTCCAGAGGCTCTGCAGAGGCTTATAAAGGGTGGCCTAAGCAAACTTTTCTTCTTCAAACTTTGGTATACCTGAATAACTTTTTTCTAGAAAGGTGTCAGAAATAGATTAGTCAGTTGTCACTTATGTAAAGCTGCTGTTTAAGAGTAGCTCTTTAGGTATTATTAAAGAATTCAAACCTGCCCTGGGTGGTGTGGCTCAGTGGATTGAGTGCTGGCCTGCAAACCAAAGGGCTGTGGGCTTGAGTCTCAGTAAGGGCACCTGCTTGGGCTGCGGGCCAGGTCCCCAGAAGGGGGCTCATGAGAGGCAACCACAAATTGATGTTTCTCTCCCTCTTTTTCTCCCTCCCTTCCCCTCTCTAAAAAGAAATAAAATCTTTTTAAAAAAAAAATAAATAAAAGGATTCAAACCTCAAGATCCGAGGTTCTCAGGCATCTTTTCTACCCAGTGTCAACAGGAATAAAGACACATGAAGGATTTAAATAACCCAATTACCTGATATCTGGATAGTTTTAGTCTTGAAGAAGTCAGTGGGCCTTGCAGATAGAGGAACTGTCCACATCACTGGTAAAGAGCAAAGGCCAAGACTTAGGGATGCAAGGAAAAAAAAAAAAAAGAAAAGAAACAATTCACAAGCAAAATCAGTCTGTGAATAGACCAAGACAGGTTCCTCCTGAGTGAAAAGGCAGAGATTCCTGTCAGTTCATTACAGAGGATTGGGTTAAAAATCTCTCTGTAAAGCATAAGACTTAGGATAACTTTTTGGCTTATGCCCAACATTGTTTCTGGATTTCTTTCTACAGCTTTAATTCTGCTACTATGTTAAGTGATTTCTAGATACTCAACTGGCTGGCAGACTGCTGATGCAACAAGTACATGGAAGATTCCACTTTATCAGGTTTCCGTGGCCTTGCACCAGACCTTCACTCAAGCCATCTGAGAGTTCCTCTCATATCCAAAATTGCAGAGTGTTCACCAAGGAGTCATTGTTCCCCACAGAGATATTTCTCAGCAGTCTGGAAGGTGAGGTCCTCTGTGACCGTTGTGGTGGCAATGCAACCTGAGCAATGGCTTCAGACACACAACAGACTACCCCCCACCTGCACCCCCCACCCCTGTTCCTTTGGACCAAAGGAAACTATTTGAAATCCTATCTTCTGAGTTTCATATCTGGCTGCAGGGGAAGCAATAGCTTCTCTAGTACAAGGAGATGCTGAATTTGCCTCCAGGTGGATTCAGGACTTTGTTGTGAGATTGAGGCCGAGGGTCCAAACCTGGGCTCATGGCTGTCAACCGTGGGCGTGGGCTGCGGCTCCTGAGTATGGTCTGCTCTTCTCTTGGGCCACCTTTCTCACACAGCTTTTCTCTGGTCAAGGTGCTCCTTGCGGGTTTAAGGTCCAATTTTGGGTCTTTTTCACACAAGAGCTCATGGTCCTTGGGTTTGTCTGAGTGTGCCAAGGGTAAAGTGGTGATCACTGGCAACCCAAAAATCTTATTAGTCTTCCCACCAGGTGGGTTCAGACTCTGTGGAGTGTACACTGGCATTGATTCCACAAAGTACCACTTCTTTCCCCCCCTGGGGATTGGTTCTCTTAGGAATGTTCTGAGGTTCTTCAGTTGGTCCAAAAATATTCAATGCCATCCTGTTGGGCTGGCTTGAAGGAACATCTTCTTCTGGAATTCTGAAATGATCACTTGATGATCCTCCCGGAGGCTTCATTGCCCTGGAGCCAGCTCAGCTGCCCTCACTCTCTGGAATATGGAACATACCACCGGCTTCTTGGTACCTCATTCCTTGCGGAGTCAAGATTCCTGCAAGGATCTGGAAACTTTTCTTTAAAAGATCTAAAGTTGAATCATCAACAAAATGGAGAGAACCTACTGAATGGGAGAAGATAAGTGCAAATAACACATCCAAAAATGGATGAATATCTAAAATATATAAAGAACTTATACAATTTAACACCAAAAACAAACAATCCAGTTAAAAAATGGGCATTTCTCCCAAGGAGGACATACAGATGACCAAAAGACAAATAAAAAGATGCTCAGCATCACTAATCAACAGGGCAATGTAAATTAAAATCTCAGTGATCCCTGGCTGGTTAGCTCAGTGGGTTGGAGTGATGTCCTGATACACCAAGGTTGTTAGTTCAGTCCTTGGTCAGTGAACATACAAGAATCAACCAATGAATGTATAAATAAGTGGAGCAACAAAATGGATGTGTATGTGTCTCTCTCCTCCCTCTTCTCTCCATTCTCTCTCTAAAAAACTCAGTAAAATTTTTTTTTAAAACTTTGATGAGATATAACCTCATACCTTTCAGAATGGCATCATTATTCTGAATCATTTATCATCAATAAATCAACAAACAACAAATGTTTGTGAGGAAGTGTAGAAAAGGGAATCCTTGTGCATTGTTGGTAGGATTGTAAATTAGTGCAACCATATGGAAAACATGGAGATCCCTCAAAAAATTAAAAATAAAGCTGCCATATGACCTAGCTATTCCACTTCTGGGTATTTATCCAAAGAAAACAGAAACTTTAAATGGAAAAAACATATGCACATATGCATCCCTATGTTCATTGCAGCATTACTAATAATAGCCAAGATATGGAAGCAACCTAGATGCCTACCAATAGATGATAAGGAAGATGTGGACTACACTCTCGTGTGTGTGTGTGTGTGTGTGTGTGTGTGTGTGTGTATAAAATGGAATATTACTCAGCCATAAAAAAAGAATGAATTTTTGCCATTTGTGACAACATGAATGTACCTAAAGGGTATTATGTTAAGTGAAATAAGTCAGAGAAAGACAAATATACCATATGATTTGTCTTAATACTTGGAATCTATAAATAAATAAATAAAGCACAAAAAAAACAGACCCATAGATATAGAGAACAAGCAGATGGTTGCCCAAGGGGGTGGGATGGTGAATGGAAATTTTAAAAATCTCAATTCTAATGTGCCAAGTTTGAGAAGTACTGCTCTTTGTTTTTTAAAATAAAAAGAAAATGCATCTTTGCCCGATTTATTTCTCCGATTTCCTTTGTTCTGTTGGTTTTAGTCTCTATTTTTCTGGCCTACTTCAAATGTCTGGTGATTTCTGACTGTATGTTCAAATTTAAGAACACACACACATACACACACAAATGAGATACTAGAAAGCTGACTGGACATTGATGAGTATGTTAGGACCTGGGTATTTGCTTAAGAACTCTGTTAGTATCCACAGGTCTTTTCTTTTTGGCTGATCAGTTTCCCAAGACAAGGCTTTTCCAGCCCTGACTGATGTGGCTCACTAGGTTAGGCATCATCCTGAAAAGCGAAAGGTCACAGGTTCCCAGTAAGGCCGCATATCTGGACTGCAGGCTGGGTCCCTGGCTACGGGTGTGCAAGACGCAACCAATTGATGTTTATCTTGTGTATCGATGTTTTTGCTTTTTCTCCCTCCCTTCAGCCTCTCTCTAAAAATAAATAAATAAATAAATAAATATATGTGTATATATATATATATATATTTTTTTTTTTTAAAGAAAAAGCTTCCAATATCCTGCTTTGGAGGTATAATCTTGAAAAAGGGCTGAGGGTCTCACTGCTTATTACTCTACTTTATCCTCTTATTTTAAATGTGGCCCCTTTATTCCTGTCTTTATAGTTGCTTGGTATTCTCATGTCTGGAGAGCCTCCTTGAACCACAGGTGTCTATCGTCTCTGGAGGTAAGAGGTGAGCAGCAAAGATGGGGAAGTTTCTGGGGATCCAATATTTCTACAGACTTTTTAAGCCCAATCCTGCACACATGCTGTCAGGAATATCTGGCACTTTTATTTCCTGATGCTTTCCAGGGTTCTGCAGCGTCAAATGGCTTACTTCTTATGAGTTTCTCTCTCTCTCTCCTCCACAGACAGTCAAATTGCAGGCTTTACTCCCACTCCCCCAACTACAATTGTGTTGCTATCACATCTTCCAAAATTGTGTTGCTATCTTGCCTACTGTCATTTTCTTTCTTACTATTTGCCTTTGCTGTTGTATTTTTTTATTCCTTTATTGTCACTTTAATAAATAAGGTTAAAGGAGGAAATGAAGATGTAAATACTTGTATTTGATATTTGTTTATTTAAAAGTGTTGAGAACCTATGATTAGCAGAGGAGAGGGGCACTTCCAGCAAGGAAGAGCCTGTATGAAGGTTTAGTCAGAGTAGGAAACTCATGAATCTTGTGTACAGCATGGTGAGCAGATTGGTTTTGCAGCTCACAGTGGGAATTATGGAAAATAAGGACTTGAGGGTAGGGAGACAGCAGCTCAGTGGAAAGTCTAAAAGGCCAAACTGAAATGTAATGATTATATCTTACATTTTGTGGCACTTAATTTTTTTTTAAATTGTTTAAATAAATTTGTCTACCTTAATGTTTTCACATATTTTTTACGCACAGGACAAGCCTAAGAATATAGTGTTTGTTAAAACTAATTCGTATCTAGATTGAGGCATAGAAGTTAACTGATTTTTTTCAGGGCCAAAAAACAAGTAGCCAAAAGAAGTAACTACAGATTGTTAAAGAAGAGAGAGGAGTTCATTATGAAAACAGTGTTTGAAGATGATCACTGGAGAGCTATGGTGGCTGTGCTGAAGTAGGGAGAAAGCCAAAAGGCCTATGCATTAAACCAGTAAATTAGGGAGGGAGTATGGTTGATCTTTATTATTTGCAGATTCCATATGCGAATTCATGTACTTGCTAACATTTATTTGTAATCCCAAAATCAATGTTTGCAGTGTTTTCATGATCATTTGCAAACACACTCAAAGCAGTGAAAATCAGGCTGAATAAAGCGATGCTGTGCCTTCTGGTTTCAGCTCTCACATTGTATAAACAAGTACCCTTTTCAAGGTCTATTTAATGCTATGATTTTGCTTATTGGCAGTGATTTTACTGTTTAAAATGGCTCCCAAACATAGTTCTGAGGTGCCTTATGGAGGAAGTGTTAGATAAGCTTCACCATGGCATGATTTATAGTGCTGGTGGCTGTGGATTCAATGTATCAGTGGCAGGTTGACGAAAATGATGTAACCAGAGGCGTCTAGGAACCTCACCTTGTATTTGCCCTAAGAGCAATGATTATAACTACTATGAATAACAAAAATCAATTTATTAGTGCTGAGTCTCACCTCTAGCCAAAGAAGTCAAACTGACTGTTTCTTAAAAATCTAATGGAGTAGGCAGAACAAGAGCAACTATCCATGCACTTTAAAAAAATCTGTTATGACTCTCATATATGTATTTAATGAATATGTATCAGAGAATTTATTCAATGATTTGGTGAGAAAACTAGTCAGATATTACCATTGGTTCAGAGAGCATTTAAATTGCTAAGTATTTATAAGCAATTAATAAAGAAATTCTAGTGTGAGATTGCTGAATTAGATACAAAATTTGTTAATGCTCTACAAGGTATTAAAATAAAATCACTGAAATTAAAAAAAAATCTAATGGATAATTTGAGTTCCTATCACATTTTGCTCCTCTTTTTTCCCTATGGGTTAAATGTGAGCATAAATGAAATCCATTTGAGGACAAAGCACCTGGTCCCAATATGGTGCCAAAGTAAGGACTAAGCTCAAATGTTCCTGCTCCGCAAATTCAAGCATAATGTGAACATCATAGTTGGTTTAAGAGTCTAAGAAATATTTACCTATGCTGACAGTGTAGCATTTTAATGTAATTTCTCCTCTAATCAATTCTTGCCCCACTTTCCCCTATTTCAGTACTTGGCTCCATTATCCATTCAGTTCCTCAAGCCCCAAGACCTGAGAGTCATCCTTGATTTCTTTCCTTTAATCCCCTACGTCCAATCTATCACCAAATTTGTTAGTTCTACTTCTACCGGTTATTAATCTGTTGTCTCTGATTAATCTGTTGTCCCCACACCCTCCCTTCTATACTCCGTTTTATGCTGCTAGATCGTCCAGATTTCCCTGCCAGCTGTTAATTATCTGCCAATGGGAGGCACTGGCAAGAAACCAGAACGCTGCAGAAAGGAAGCAGCAGCCATTGCTCTCAGCTGCTGTAGCAGTGGGGACAAGGTCCGCGCACCAGCTGTGCCTCCGTGTGGCACCTGCTCACCATTCAAGACCATTATAGCACCTCTTCTGCTTCTAGCACCTGCAGTGGATTCCACCCCTGTAGTCTTTCATTCCTTCAGCACCCTGCATTCTCCCTTTTGTTTTTTCAGCCCTTCCAATACTTTTGTAACCAATTTCCCATACCTAACACTCTTTGTTAGAAGTTAACTAGCATGGTTTCTGACTTCCTGACTGGAGCTTGGAGGATATAACCTCCAAAATATTTCCTGAATCTATCCATCTTTGCTACTACCACAATGCCCACTTTAGTCCAAGGCACAGTGATCTCTTACCTGTGTCACTGCAACAGCTAGGCTCCCTGAGATCACAACCAGGTAGGTCCAGAGCCAGACCGGTAGGTGCCTGTGAGGCGGGCAGCATTAACTGGTGAGGGACCCCCCGAAAAAAAAAAGTTATGGCAGAAAAATGATTCCCCTATACTGCCAATCCTGGAAGCTGGTGTTTGATTTCATTTCACAGAGTTGATGTGCTTAAACTGTTACTCACTTAATGCTTATTACTAGGCCAAGTTCCTTATCTCTGCCTTATGCTCTGTCTGCCTTTTCTCTTTCATATTATAGACCAGCAGGACAACCTGGAAAGATAAGAGCATTTTATTTGTAAAATCTTTGCCAACTAACTTAAAAATGAAAAAAATTAATTCTATCGCTATCTCGAAAAAAACAACTCAACTTTCCTCCTAACTGAGCATCCTGGGATCCCAGAAATTCCAATTCATCTAACTCAAATCCCCATAGTGGTAGAGATGCATCATTCCTATGGGAAGGAAATCTTGAGACAGGCAGAAGCCATTTAACGAATACGTGTAGTGCTTTCCGGCAGAGAAGGTAGTAAGACGGGCACTATCCCTGAGTCAAGCTGTGACACAGGCAGGGTGCCAGGTGGCTGATGACAATCTCTCTCCTCAACTGGGGCAGAAAAGTCAGCTCAGCCTTGAAACAAGTGACTGGGGAGGTATCTTAGCCGAAGGTTAGTGTCTCTGCATCTCCAGCTTGGGAGGTGGAGTTGGATAGAGGAGTGAATGCTTTCTTGCCTTCAGCTAGAGCTTTAAAATGCTGTAAGGAAAGAGGAGAGGAAATGTGAAGTATTTGGGTCATGCTGGTTGCTACATTTTTAGCAAGAACTAACCTCTTTACAACTTTAAGCTCCAATTTTTCCCAATTCTACTTTCAGAACAATTCCTTAGTGTTATCTTTGAAAAACAGCTAGAAATTTGCCCTACCTCCTACAGTAAGAAACCCCTTTTCCCCTTCCTTCCTGTTTCTATTCATTAGGCTACTTAACTGTCCTATATGAATGAGTGTCTTCCATAGATCCTTACCTAAGCTCACCTAAGGCACACATCCCCTCTACTTCCTTTCCTTTAAAAGCCCCACCCCTGACTGCTTTGCAGCTCTCTTAATTATGGAGAAGGGTAATGGTAACTCCAGGCTGAGACATCTTCCATTGTCAAAGGACACAATCACAGCTGCTCAGAATAGTGGAGACTGCAGCAATCCTCACTACAACTTAAGCCAATCTCTAACGCTAGACTTACCTGTGAGTTTTTGAATTCCGAGTAAAGGGAAAAGAGCAGGTGGAGAGACTGAATCCGACTCTTGTAGATAGGAATGTCTAGAATGGCTGAAATCAAGAACTCCCATGAGCAGAACCAAACAAAAATCTAGGACTTATGGGACGTTTCTGTTTAGGATAGCCAATCCCCTCTCAGGTGGGATGTGTTACCATGGCTTTGGGAGTTCAATACCCAGCAGGTAGTTGCATAAGCCCAACACCACCCTTCAGTGCTGCCAACCGCACAAGTAGCTTAGAGTGAAGGCTGTAACTAAGGATGCCATCTTCTCAGAGTAAATAATCCTTTTCAAAAGCTCACACTGGGTTTACCCAGAGATGGGGACAAGGAAGGGACGGAAGAACTTACCACAGATCATGTCAATGTACTCTGCCAGGCTGCAATCAATCTCTGCCGTGGGCAGGCTTACCTAAGAAGGGCAAGGGATGTACCAAAGTTTCTCTCTGAAGAAAAAAGAGCTCCTAGCAAAAGTTATACATATTATGGGCTAAATGGTGTTCCCTCAAAATCCATATGTTGAAGTCCTAACCCTCAGCACTTCAGAACACAACTGTATTTGAAGATACACTCTTAAAGGAGATAATTAAATTAAAATGAGGTCATTAGTTTGGACCCTAATTCAGTATGACTGGTATCCTTATAAGAAGAGGAAATTAAGACATGGCTACATACAGAGGGAAGACCATGTGAAGACACAGGGAGAAGATGGCAATGAGGAAGTTTCTGGGAAAAAAATCAGCTCTGCTGACAATTTGATCTCAGACTTCAAGCCTTCAGAAGTGTGAGAAAAATAAAATAAATTTCTGTTGTTTAAGCTACTCAGTCTGCGGTACTTTGTTATGGCAACCCTAGCAAATAATACAGCATGCTTTTTTATTCTCTGATCAGTGAAATGTAATTGGTCATATTCATTAACCATGAAAGTAGTAGAAGATCTAACAAAACTAAAAAATTTTATAAGTAAAATATACTGCCATGCTATCTTCCTGTGAAGATATTTGTGAAGAAGAAATCGGTACTAGTGTATGTCCAAATATTGATAATTACTTGGTGTTAAAAGGCTTAATGATTCTGCCCTGATCAGTGTCACTCAGTGGGTTGGGCGTTGTCCTGCAAAGGGAAAGGTCGCCAGTTTGATTCCAGGTCAGGGCACACGCCTGGGTTGAGGGTTCAGTTCTCAGTTGGGGCACGTTCAGGAGACAACGATTGGTGTTTCTCTCCCTCTCTTTTTCCCTCCCTTCCCTTCTCTCTGCAAAATAAATAAATAATTACTTTTAAAAAGGCCTAATGGTCCTTGGACATAAAAAACGGGACATATCTCAAGTAATAGGTTCTGGATCTAAACAACTTGATTGTAAGTTTAAAAACCATTAGCTTCTTAAAAAAAATTTGTTCTCTTTTTATAAAAGTCAGAGTATATATAGTTCTGCAATTTCCTTTTTTCACTTAACAACATGTCATTAATATTTCTCCATATCAGAGCAAAATAAGGTCAAATAATATTCCATTGTATAAGCACGCCACTGAATGTACTACAATCTATCTATTCAGTTCCCTCATTAGACATTTTCCCTCAGCTATAGCTTTAAAATGCTGTAAGGCAAAAAGAGATTGTTTTAAAATTCTTTGCTTTTAAAACAATTCCTCAATAAACATGCACAAAAACCCCCCCAAAAACCCTTCCTTTTCATAGAGCTTATATTTTAGTTGGGAGAAACAAAAAACAAAGTAAGTAAGGTACACAATATATTAGAACGTATGTGTTACAGAGAAAAAGCAGGAAAAGAGGGTGGGGAATATGGGGGAGGTGGTGTAACATTTTAAATATGATGGCCAGGAAAGACCTATCAATCTTATTTGCTTAGTTTTCTTTTCTTGACATGTAATAGCTCTTTGCTTGGATAGTAATGTTGTTACATATATATGTAATTTTTCTCAGTCTATTATTGTTTTAGCTTTGTTTACAGTAACTATCACATTTTCCCCATTACAATTTTTAAGTTTCTTATTATGCTAAGAAACATTGACTTATCCAAGCAGTATTAAATATTTCTCCCACTTTTTAAAATAGTGCTAGTATAGCTTTATTTTTACATTAACTGCTTAATTCATCTGGAATTCATGTATGCATATGGTTGGAACATAACCTAATTTTCTCAAATGGCTAGTCAGTTGTCACATCACAACTCAGTATATCTCCAATCATTTAAAATACTACCTTTCTGCCCTGGCTGGTGTGGCTCAGTTGACTGAGTGCTGGCCTGTGAATCAAGAGGTTACTGGTTCGATTCCCAGTCAGGGCACATGCCTGGGATGTGGGCCAGGTCTCTGGCTGGGGCCATGTGAGAAGCAACCTATCGATTTCTCTCTCATGCATTGTTGTTCCTCTTCCTCTCTTTCTCCCTCCCCTGCCTCTAAAAATAAGTAAATAAAATCTTTTAAAAAACCCAGAAACTTAAAAAAAAAATCACCTTTCTTACATGCCATGGGTTTGTTGTTGGATTCTTACGTGCGCTCATCTATTTCTATTCCTATGCCAGTGTTTTACTTACCATAGCTTTATAATATGTTTCTTTTCTTTTTTTATTATTAATTTGAGAGAGAGAGAATAAAACAAACAAATATTGATTTGTTGTTCTACCCATCTATGCATTCATTGGTTGATTTTTGTATGTGTCTTGACCAGGGATGGAACTCACAACCTTGGTATATGGGGACAAAGCTCTACTGAACTGAGCTTCCTGGCCAGGGCTATAATGTGTTTCTAATGTCTGATGGGGTAAATCCTCTATTATTTTTTTTTTTTAGAAGATTTTATTTATTTATTTTCAGAGAGGGAGAAGGGAGGGAGAAAGAAAGGGAGAGAAACATCAATGTGTGGTTGCCTCTCACACATCCCCAACTGGGGACCTGGCCTGCAACCCAGGCATGTGCCCTGACTGGGAATTGAACTGGTGATCCTTTGGTTTGCAGGCCAGCACTCAATCCCCTGAGCCACACCAGCCAGAACCATTATTTTTTCCTAAAATTTCCATGATTAGTTTTAGTCTTAAAAATTTATTCTCTCAGATAAACTTCATTACCAATTTTCATTTTCTAAAACAATCCCTTTAAAATCCTCATTGAAAGGAATTCCACTTACAGAGTAAACTGGAGAGGACTGACAGCGCTATGAGATTGAATCCTCCTGCCTAGGAACATAGCTTGACTCTTTATTCATTCAAATCTGTGTCCACCTTTCATTAAAGTTTTATAATTTGTTTTCAAAAAAAATCTTACCAATTCTTACTGAATTTATTCCTGTATTTTTTAAATTTGGGGTAATTATGAAAAGGACATCAGCTTCTTAGAATAGCATAAGTAACTCTGTGGAAAAAGGTAGAGTCTAAAGTAATAATGCAGGAAGCATATATACATGTTCACCAAAAGGTATATTACAATGTTCACAGAAATATTATCGTAATATTGTAGTAATATTATATTTGTGATAACTCAAACCTGTAGACTACCCAAGTGGCTACCATAGAATAGATAAACTGTCACATATTCAAACAATATTATACAGTATTGAGAAAAATGTACAATAATAATGTATAGAACAATATGGGTGAATCTCCATATGAATGAATAATATAGATGAGCAAAATAAGTATGACACAGAAGAGTTCAATTACATTTAGATAAAATACAAAATAGGCAAACATAACCTACACTATTACAAATCAGGACAGTGGTTATGTTGGGACGTGGGAGTAATGTCGTTTTTTGATCTAATCTGCTGATTTACACTGAGGTGTTCAGATGGTGAAAACTAATAAACACATACATTTCTAATTGTGTACTATACATCAACTAATAAGTTAATAATGGTAATATAAGAAGAGAGAAAACACTGGGCCCTAGAGCAAATGCCATACTTTCATAGCTCCTGCTACGTTCTACTCACCTTGCCCAAAAGCTCTTCAAACTCTGGGGACCATTCCTGCATCAGTGTGTCAATATCAGGCATGGGCCTAAAGGTACAGAGGCAAATATCAACAAGAAAAATGGACAAGTGATATTAGCAACCTCTGGATCAGGATATTTAGGATGAAAGCAGGTTCTGAATCTGGCACATTGGGATTTCAAGTGAACACAGACTGGGCAAATCAAACTTACCCAGGGCCTGGAGTCTGGAGGAGCTGGCTAAGTACTAATACCAGATAAGTCACAACTTATGTCTGCAATCTCAGTCAGGATCCCTGTGACCTCGGGCTGATCAACAATGTCCCCAGGCTTTGGGCCCTCTTTTCAGAAGCAGTGGGTTCACAGGTGGTGAAAGTTACTATGGGTTATAGTGGTGAAGAATGTGGTATTTCTTACCTAGTATAGTGTACAGTTGCAGGGGGTTTAGAACGATGTAACTCAGAGATGCTCTCAATCCAAGTGTCAATGGCTTTGGGATTCTTTTCTGCATCTTCCAGGCTCTTTACTTTCATGTGTTGCTAGAAAAACAAGAGGAAGGCTGACTGATGGCACTGAAATGGCCCTGCTGCTTTTGCAGAGTGACTCACCAAGTGCTGCTATTTCACATACAAAATAGCTAATGAAAAAGGAGCAGCCACATAGAGACTATAGAAAACCTTGATAAAATTTTCTAGCACCATAGGAAAGGAGCAGATCATTAAGAAAGGACTGACCATAATAAGGTACCATTTCACACCTATTGGGATGGCTAAAATAAAAGACAGTAAGAAGTGCTGATGAAGATGTGGAGAAACTGAAACTCTCATTCATTACTGGTAGGAGTGTAAAATGGTTCAGTCACTTTGGAAAACAGTTTAACAGTTCCTCAAAACACTCAACAGTTACCATATGACCCAGTAATCCCACTCCTACATATATATCCAAGAGAAATAACAATACATGTCCACACAAAAACATGTACATATTCATGGCAGACTAAGAGTGGAAACTGGTGTATGGATAAACAAAATGTGGTATGTTCATATAATGGAATATTATACAACCATTAAAAAATGAAGTAGTTACCAAGGTCTAGGAGGAGGAGGGAATGAGGAGTGACCAATAATGGGTAGAGGATTTCTTTTTGGAAATATAAAAAAAAAATTCATAAATGAGGATGAATATTTTTAGTATATTCACTGAATTGTGTGATTTAAAAGGGTGAATTTTATGGTAGGTAAGTTATATCTCAGTAAAACTGTTAGGTAAAAGATAGGGCTGTCCCAAAGTCACAGCCATCCCTGTTAGTAGGAAGTTAGTCAACTACATAAACGCCACCAAGGCCTGTACTCCAGCTTCTCCAGCTGGGGCCTGCACTAAGCCAATGTCTTACTGTGATGTTGTGCTGCTTAGAGTTCTCTGTTAACCAGAGGGAGAGCACTGTAGGGTCTGACTGCTTTGTAGAAGGCTCGTCTAATACTAAGAGGCCAAGGTTGTCAGGCTTTCCATCAGGACGTGGAACCTGGTTAGGAGAAAGGTGAGAAAACAGAAAAAATCATGAGAGGAACATAAAAAACGCCACACACCTTGATTCCAACAAACTGAAGAGGAAGAACTCTTCTGGTTCATCACTATTACTAGTATTAAAGAGCATGCCTGGCCCTGGTGGGGTGGCTCAGTTGGTTGGAGCATCATCCCATACACCAAAAGGTTGTGAGTTCTAACCCAGGTCAGAGCACATACTTAGGTTGTGGGTTTGATCCCCAGTTAGGGTGCATATGGGAGGCAGCTGATCAATGTTTCTTTCTCTCTCTCCCCCTCTTATTCTCTCTCTAAAATCCATAAACATATCCTCAGGTGAGGATTTTTTAAAAAGAAAAAAAGCATGCCTATATAACATGTTGTACTATAATCCTATCTAGAAAAACATGCATGATCTATATAGGACCTTAAATATAAAGCTGAAGTCATGGATAATTAGGTGACAAATATATGACAAACTTTTAACATATAATGAGATGATCAAGTATTACCTAATAGCAATGAATAAAATATGGAGTAGAGCCCTAGCTGGTGTGGCTCAGTGTATTGAGCACCAGCCTGCAAACCAAAGGGTTCCCAGTTCAATTCCCAGTGTAAGGCACATGCCTGGGTTGCAGGCCAGGCCCCCAGCCAGGAGCACACAAAATGCAACTACACATTGATGTTTCTCTCCCTTTCTCCGTCTCTTCCCCTTTCTAAAAATAAATAAATAAAATTTTTAAAATTAAAAAAAAAAATATCAAGTAGATAGCAAGGTTAGGAACGCTAATGAGAAAAAATACAATAAATAATGTGAAGAAACTTTAAAAAATTAAATTAAAATTTTAAAAAAGAACACTAATGAAATGAATAATATGTTTCAACATAGCCAATGCTTGGCTATGAAAATTAGTGGAACTGGTAGAGTAATAGAGGGGTCAAAAGAAACATCTATGGTCTCATTTTTAGGATGTTCTGACTGTACCTTTAAGAATGCATCAATATCCCCAACAGCTGGGATAAAATCAGGTATGAAAGGCTTCAGTTTGTGGTCCAGGTCAATCAACTGAGGTGTATACCTAAGAGATATTGCCAAGAAGAAGATGGAAACAGAGAAACTTACTTTACAATTCAGGTATAAAAATATAAGTAGAATGACCTTGTTTCAGACTAAAGGTAGGGCCTGAAGGGTTACGGGAAGAAGTCCTAATACTTACCTACTTATATATTGGAAGAGTTCCTTAACTTCAGGAGAAACTGGCAAATGCTCATAATCTGCAGGATCGTAGGCTCTGTGGAAAGAAAAATAAGATTCAGGGAAGCCAGAGAAGAGCAGTTGTTGCTGAACCCTGGTTCAGCCCTGTGTTACTGCAGTTGCAGGGCACATGACTCTGAACCCAGTTTCTGCTCCACATCTGCCTTTCTTGGGTGCAAGGCAACTTGCAAGGCAACTTTAAAATTCATTAAAATTACTTCTCAGTTATCTCTGACAGTAAAGAAGGACAGAGCTGCAGAAAATCTAAAACATAATTAAAAAAAATTTTAGACTATAGCATAAGTTGCTTTCCCTTTTTTTTGAATGAAAGGGGTAAAAGAAAAGATGGAATGAAATTGTAATTTCTGGCATGAAAATAGTTTGCCCCAAGAAAAAAATAAAGTTTTACAAAGATATTTCTCACAGTGTTATTCATAAAAGTAAAAAATTAGAAACAAATAAAATAGCCAACATTTGAGTAATGGTTAAGTATGTTTCAGTTAAGTATTACAGTTACTAAAAAATACTTGTATTGACACATGAAATGTATATGGTAAAAAAATACAACATATTAATTATAATTAAGTAAAATGTAATAAACATTGACGAAATATATGTGACTTTGGAAGTTATAATAAGGTGAATCTGGCAAGAGTTGCTTAATAAAAAATTAAGTAGATTAATGACTTAAGGTTTACATTTCCCTGATTATAATTTATGAGCATGACGTAAATTGGGAAGCGTGAAAAACCAGTCTGGTATTAACTTGCCTCATTTACTTAGTGTCTACATGCAAGTGGATAACTCAAAGGTAACTATTTTTATTTTTATTCAACTAACTTAATAATTTATGCATGCACAGGATACAAAATAAAAGGTACAAAATGTGTACAATGAAAAGTTATGTCTCCCTTGCCACCAAGTTCCCCTCCCATAAGTAATCACTATTTTTAGTTTCTTACTGTATCCTTCACTTCAGATAGTCTATGTAATATTTGCTTTATACACGTGGTAGCAAAACATAAACACTTCTATACATTTAAAAAATTTAACAGCATCTCTTAGAGATTGTTCTTTACCAGTGAAAATAGTGCTGCCTCATTCTTTTCAATGGCTAGATAGAATTCTACTGATTGGTTACATCATCATTTATTTAACCAGTAATTATATTTTATTACTTTTTAAAAGATTTTATTTATTTATTCTTAGAGAGAGAGGAAGGAAGGGAGAAAGGGAAATATCAATGTATGGCTGCCTCTCTTGTGCCCCCTACTGGGGATCCGGCCCATAACCCATGCATGTGCCTGACTGGGAATTGAACCAGTGACCATTTTGTTTACAGACTAGCACTCAATCCACTGAGACACACCAGCCAGAGCCCAGTAATTATATTTTAAATGGATGGGCCTTAGAATCCATTTTGATTAAAACCTACAGGGGAAGATCATAACTAATCTAACACCAGAGTTTGGAACAGGGTGAGAGGTTTTTAACTTAAGCATCATTTAGGAACATTTTACCTCAGTGTTGGGATAAGTATTCTCTGCCTGCCCAAAAAGAATCTGAACTTAGGGTTTTCTGCTCCTATGCATGTATGTTTTCCTTGCTAAATAGAAATGCTTTGGTATGTACATACATTTATTTTCTTTTTCCCAAAATGTGAACTCCCCGAGTCAGTGACAATCTTTTAGATTTACTCAGCAAATCCTCATGAACCCTGAGCCCACAAATGTTTCAAATAGTGCAAAATGACATCATGGGACTCAAAGAGGTGGTGGAGCCAGAAAAGAATGAAAACTCATTATGGTGGGTTTTTGAGACATGTGATAGTCCTAAATAGTGATCAAAAGAGATGCTGGAATTTCACTTTTAACTGATATCCTCCTACTCCGTGTTTTGAAGAGGGTGTTTTCCTTCTTGACAAGGGTGGTTTCCTCACCCTTCCAGAGGGGCACCATGCTCTTCATCATCTTCTTCATCGGAATCGGTTTCAGATGAGTCGTCATCATCATCGTCGTCGTCATTTTCACTAAAGCCCTGTTGAGGTGTCAGCTGAGAGGTCTTCTTCTTCTCCTGAAATAGGGCAGGATAGGCAAAGAAAGGCCCATATAATGAAAAATTTAGCGTACCTACGCCCAGTTCCCTCCTAGGACTCTAACCAATACCCTCCCACCTGGCACGACATCACTAGAGAGAAAGTAGCACTCTCTGGAAGGACCTCGAGAACCATCTCCTGCTCCTGCTCATGGGAAACTGGGTCCCCATTTCTATAACCATATTCTATTTCCCTGCTTGAGATTTGACTATAAATTTTATCCAATATATATCTATTTTACCAATTACTAAGGAGATTCTAAGACCTCTGCATGAACTATACAGTAGGTTCAACTCTAAAACTTCAGCACTTTTGGAGAAAGACAATTCTAAATTGTTATTTTGGAAGGAAACAGGGAAAGATGAAGCGCGGAAGACAAACTTTAGGGAATCTTAATACTCACAAAAGTCACAGAGAGGAAATCTAATATTTAATTTGCAAGATTGCCCAGAGTAAGCTGCTTGTAACTATCAAAAGAAGAAAGTTGAGGCTTCAGGTCAAGATGCTGACATAGGTAGACATGGCTTACCTCATTGCACAACCACATCAAAATTACAACTAAAATGTAGAACAACCATCACTCAGAACCATCAAATATCAAGTTGAATGGAAGTCTGCAACTATGGAATTAAAAAAATCACATCTATTGAGACTAGTAGGAGGGGAGGATACGTGGAACAGGCTGATCCCACACCCACCTGTGGTGGATAAAAATTCGGGAGGGATATTTTGGGAGTGAAGAGTACCAGCCCCACATCAGGCCCCACAGCCCAGGGTTCTAGTGCCAGGAAGATAAGTCCCCACAACTTCTGACTGCAAAAACCAGCGAGGATTGAGTTGGTGGAAGAAACTTCTGGAGTCTCAAGAAGTTCCTCTTAAAGAACCCACACATGGACTTACTTAGACTCACTACTTAATGAGCTCCAGCACCTGGGTAGTGACTTGAAAGGTACCAGTGGCAAATGGGGAGGAAGTAAAGTGTCTGGCATCAAGGTGAGAGCTGGAGGACAGCCTTCTCCCAGACAGAAAGGCAAGCAGAGGCCATTGTCCCTGCTTGTTATCCTCCCTGCACAGAGCCACAGAGCCCATGGTCTGACACCATACCTGAGACTCCATCAACCTAGCTAACACTTTTTGCCCCACCCTGGAGATCCCCAGACACTACGCCCCACTCAAATTTATGTGCCCACCCAAGCTGCTTGTCTATATGAATGGCTGGTCTTGACTCATGCTTCACAACATCCTAAATTCTCTCGAACAAGCAACAGCCACCTCGGTGAGCCCCCAGCCCCTGTACCTCTTGCTAAGTGGCCCCAGGCCCAGCACTAGGAGCAGGCAGCCTAGATTCATAGCTTGGCTTTGCTTGGGAATCTCCAAGCCCAGCACAAGTAGCAGCCATCTCAGATTGCTTTATAGCTCAGGCAGGGTACTCCGGGAAAAAACACAGGTGGGGCTGTCGTTGGCCTGCACCACCTGGGAAATCCCAAGGCTAGCCTAACCAGTGGACAGCTACAGACCACTGTGGAGCACCACCACCTTGCCCCTGCACAGCTGATCCTCCATGGAGGGTGGAGGTTGGGGGTCATTGGTCACAGCCAGCCCTTTCAACTGACTGGCCTAGGTAAATCACTCCCATTGACCTGCCATCAGCAATCAAGGCCCAGCTATAAGAGTAGGGTGTACTCAGCCCACACAAAGGACACACCTCGAGTACACAACTTGGGTGACAGGGGAGGCTGTACCACTGAACCCTATAGGACACCTACTATATTAGGCCATACTACCAAGACAGGGAGCCATAGTTGCTCTACCTAATACATAGAAAAAAAATGCAGGGAGGATGCCAAAAGGAAGAGACGAAGAAACATGGCCCAAATGAAAGAGCAGATCAAAATCCAGATTTTGCAGCAATTTTGAGAAAGAACAAAATAGGAGGGATCACAATACCTGACATCAAACTGTAATACAAGGCCACTGTAATCAAACAGTCTGGTACTGGCATAAGAACAGACACATAGATCAATGGAATGGAATAGAGAGCCCAGAAATAAACCCATGTCTCTACGGTCAATTCATATTCAACAAAGGGGGCAGAAGCATAAAATGGAGTAGAAATAGCCTCTTCAACAAATGGTGTTGGGAGAGCTGGACAGCTACATGCAAAAAAATGAAATTTGACCACCAATTTACACCATACACAAAAATAAACTCAAGATGGATAAAAGACTTAAATGTAAATCGTGACACCATAAAAGTCATAGAGGAGAACATAGGCAGGAAACTCTCAGATACCCCACGCAGCAATATTTTCACCGATATGTCCCCTAGAGCAAGGGACATAAAGGAAAGAATAAACAAATGGAACTTCATCAAAATAAGAAGCTTGTGCATGGCTAAGGAAAACACCAGCAAAATGAAAAGGGAACAAACTGTATGGGAAAATATATTTGCCAATGATACATCAGACAGGGCTTTGGTCTCCAAAATACATGAAGAACTCACATGACTCCACTCCAGGAAGACAAAGAATCCAATTAAAAAATGGGCAAAGAACCTGAGCAGACACTCCTCCAAGGAGGACATACACAGGGCCCAGAGATATAGGAAAGGATGTTCAGCATCACCAGCCATCAGAGAGATGCAAATTAAAACCACAATGAGATACCACTTCACACTGGTCAGAATGGCCATCATAAACAAATCAACAAACAATGGGTGCTGGTGAGGCTGTAGAGAAAAGGGGACCCTAGTCCACTGTTGGTGGGAGTGCAGACTGGTGCAGCCACTCTGGAAAACAGTTTGGAACTTCCTCAAAAAGCTAACAATGGAACTGCCTTTTGACCCAGCAATTCCACTGCTGGGATTATACCCTAAGAATCCCAAAACACCAATTCAAAAGAACCAATGCACCCCAATGTTCATAGCAGCACAATTTACAATAGCCAAGTGCTGGCAGCAACCTAAGTGCCCATCAATAAATGATTGGATCAAAAAACTATGGTACATTTACACAATGGAATACTATGCAGCAGAAAGAAAGAAAAGCTACTACCTTTCCCAACAGCATGGTTGCAACTGGAGAGCATTATGCTAAGTGAAATAAGCCAGAGGTTGAAAGACAAATACCATATGATCTCACCTATAAGTGGAATGTAATCAACAAAACAAACAAGCAAGAATAATATAACCAGCAACAATGAAACAAAAACAAACCAACAGTAACGGGGTGGTGGGGGGTGTAATGGGGAAATGAAGGGGAAGGGTCAAGGAATATGTATGAAGGACCCATGGAGAAAGCCAAAGTGGGGAAGGACTGAGGGTGGGAGGTGGGGGTGGGTGGGGCAGGGAAAGTTGTGGCTGCAAAATGGAGACAAATGTATTTGAACAATAAAAAATAAAAAATAAAGAAATAATTAAAAATAAAAAACAAAGAAATACATAATTTCATATAATACAATAAATAATAAAACACTATTAATGTTATAGCTTGATTGGGTCTGACAGAAGTAACACCTGCTTGAGTGTGGTTGGTAGGGTAATAATATGGGTATAATAATTTACAGTTTTAACTTGAATGTTTCACCTAAAACATCACATGGTGTGCTTGAGTATGATATTGTTATTTTAAGAATTATATGCTTATGATTTTGTAATAAAAGATTTTCTAATAAAGGGAGAAAAAAATCCAGATAAAGAGCTACACGAAATGGAGATAAACAATTGGTCAGATGCAGAGTTCAAAACACTGGTTATAAGGATGCTGAAGGAACTTAGTGAGGACCTCAGAGGCAAAAAAAGACCCAGTCAGAAGCAAAGGATACACTAATTGAAATAAAGAACAAATTACAGTGAACAAGAGTAGATGAAACCAAGAATCAAAACAATGATTTGGAACATAAGGAAGAAAAAACAACCAATCAGAACAAGAAGAAAAAAGAATTCAAAAAAATGAAGATAGTTACTGTAAACAACCTCTAGAACAACTTTAAGCATTCCAACATTCGTATCATGGGGTGCCAGAAGAAGAAGGGAAAGAGCAAGAAACTGGAAATCTATTTGAAAAAACAATGAAAGAAAACCTCATTAATCTGGTGAAGGAAATAGACATACAAGTCCAGGAAGCACAGAGAGTCCCAAACAAGATGAATGCTGAGAGGCCCACTCTAAGACACATCATAATTAAAATGCCAAAATTTAAAGATAAAGACAGAATTTTAAAAGCAGCAAGAGAAAAGTAGTTAGTACAGGGGAATTACCATAAGACTGTCAGCTGATTTCTCAAAAGAAACTTTGCAGGCTAGAAGGGATTGGAAAGAAATATTCAAATTGATGAATAGCAGAGACACACAGCCAAGATTGTGCTGCCCAGCAAAGCTATCATTTAGAATGGAAAAGCAGATAAAGAGCTTCCCAGACAAGAGAAAACTAAAGAAGTTCATCATCACCAAACCATTATTATATGAAATGTTAAAGGGACTCATATAAGAAAAAGATCAAAACTATGAGCAGGAAAATGGCAATAAATACATATCTATCAACAATGAATCTAGAAAAACATACTAAGCAAACAAGAGAAACAGAGACAGAATCATATGGTGAGCATTTTGATGGATGCCAGATGAGGGGGGGGGTGGGAAATGGGTGAAGAGATGAGGGGATTAAGAAGTACAAATAAGTAGTTACAGAATAACCATGGGGATGTAAAGTACAGTATAGAAAATGGAGTAGCGAAAGAACTTACACACATGACCCATGGACATGAACAATGGTGTGGGGACTGCCTGAGAGAGTGGGGTTGCTGGGTGAGAAGGGAAAAGGGGGAAAAATTGGGACAGCTGTAATAGCATAATCACTGAAATATAATTTTTTAAAAAAGGGTCCATCATCAACCCCCTGCTTGAGTTCTTTTTCTTTTTAAAGAAATCTTTTTCCTAAAATTTCTTATAGAGAGAAAGAGGAAGAGAGGCAGTGGGTTGCAGCGGGGGGGCAGGCGGAGAGACACACACATCAATTTGCTCTTCTATTTATTTATGCATTCCTTGATTGATTCTCGTATGTGCCCTGACCAGGAATCAAACCCTCGGTGTATCAGGACAACACTCTAATGGAGCTACTCAGTCAGGGCCCTCTGCCTGAATTCTGATCAGCAGTTCCAGGGACTATGACTTTTCTATTTCCATTCTCTTTAGTGGGTACCTAACCAATCCCTATTTCCCTTCCCTTCCCCCATAAGTTAAATGCAAAGACTATACATTGTTCCTCAAGATAAGAGACTCTTCTGTTATTGGCATGGCAACCTACCTTTCTGAGCTTCTGGTTCTCTATGTACCATCCCACCCTCTCAAGTCCGTGAGCAGGGGTCTGATGGCACTTGGGACTTGCAGGGGCAGTTGGGATGGGGTCCGTGTCTTTGCCTCTGTAGCCTGGAACCTGTGGAATGCCCTCACTTAGGACCTTAAGGATGACCAGTTGGCCCTCTTTAAAAGTAGGTTTGGAAGCTTGGTTTCTATATGCTATATGGCTTATACTGAGGTTAATATATATTTTAGTTTTTAAATTATTTAAAATTTCTTGTAGGATAAAGCAGCCATTGGAACACAAAATTGTGACACATAGGACAACAAAATTGCATTTGGTCACATTTCTCTCTAAGTGTAACACAGATTTATTATACGTAGATAAAATGTATATTTTTTAGATGATTTTATTTATTTATTTTTAGAGAGAGGGGGAGGGGGGATAGAGGAAAAGAAACATCAATGTGTGAAATAAACATAGATCAGTTGCCTCTTGCATGCTCCCACCTAGGGACCCAGCCTGCAACCCAGGCATGTGCCCTGATTGGGAATTGAACTGGCGACGTTTCAGTTCACAGGCGGGTGCTCAATCCATTGAGCCATACCAGCCAAGGCTATAAAAATATATTTTAAATAATCTATAGTATGTGTGACAGATGACACACAGTTGCAGAATTTATTCAGTGACGAAAACTTATTGGTATACAATTGATAAAAATTTCCTATTGTGTTCTTCCTTAATACAAAATCTGCCAAAATTATACTTGGTTACATGGGAAGCAATTTGGCAAAGGAAGCTTTTTAAGAATACTGATTGTCGATTTAAAGATTATTCAGAAATTGATCCTTTCTGCAGACTCTGGGTGCATACTAAATTGGAAACATAAACGAGCCTTGAATATTGACCACACCATGAGGAAGATTAGAAAAATTTAGGCTGAATATATGAAATTAGGAAGCTAATTTAGGAAAATTATTCCCTTTCGTCTGCTTCCTCAAAGTTGTGCTTTGCAAAATCCCTGATCTATGGCAGAGGACTTTAAAACATTTTTTTAAAATTTATTGATTTGAGAGAGAGAGAGAGAGAAACACTGATTTGTTGTTTCACTTATCTATGCATTCATTGGTTGATTCTTATATGTGCCCCACCGGTGACAGAATCCACAGCCTTGGCATATGAGAACATACCCCAACCGAGCTACCTGGCCAGGGCTAAAGGGGACTTTATACACCAGGAACAAATGCTTAAAAAATTACTTTGTGCATAAGATGTTAAAACAGCACACTAGTCACAAAGTGGTGCTACCTTAAAATGTTACCTTTTAGGCTTTCTATGAAATCAGCCTATAATACTAGAGCTTTCCGCATCGCTTCAAATATTCTTCTTCACTAGAGGTTTAAATGCTCCTGTACTTAAAGCACAACTAAAATATAACCATTGGATCATGTGCTCAGGTGGAACACAATGGTTGTTAAACAGAGCACATGTGCAACTTTTAGAGCTGTAGGCATCTTTCTGTCTTTCAGAAACAGGGTGATTAGGTTCATAGAATAACAGTAAAGTGACACTTGGGTTAAGACTTCAAATTAAAGTCTCTTTCACAAAATACTGGCAGAATTACAAGTTGTTGACAATAAACAAATGCCTAAAACAATAATTCCAAACTTGCTTTATTAAGAGAATTATTTGGAGTGCTTGCTAAAAATATAAATTCCCAGGCTTTTACCTTTAAGACTCTGATTCCACAGTTCTGAATGGGGAGTTGGAATCTGTATTTCAAAAATTAAGTGCCCCCAATTGATTCTTATGATGAGTAAAGTTTGCAGAACACTGGCCTGCATTACATGAAATTCCTTACCAAAAAGTCAGCTGTAATAGCAGTCTTTATTCCTAAAGAAGAATAGAAATTTTAAGGCTCTTTCTTCCTGATTGTCCTCCAAGAGCTCAAAGGTACCCAACCACTGGAGGTGAATATTCAAGAAATATTTACTACTGAACTGGTGTCATCTCTAACTACTAAAAAAAAATCAAAGCAGAAATTCCACAAGAAGCTATGGGTTATACCACACCTTGTTATCTTCCTCTTCATACTCATCACTGCTGTTATCAGCCATAGTCTTGTTAGGAGGATGGGCAGAATGAGGAAGTCCTTAGAAGAAAAGTTTTCCCTTTAGGTTATTGTTAAAATGATTTTTAAAGACAAATATTTTTAGTTTATAATATATTATAATCTGACCATTTTATGGAACACAGTTTATTTGAACATCTACCTAAAGGATAGGAGACTAAACTCTGGTCATGGCTCTGTCAATTCAATTCAACATATATTACTAAACACTACTGTGCTTAAGGCATTGGGTTGGACATTATACTAAACTGATTATTTGCTGTCACATAAATAGTATAAAATCTGCCCTTAGTTTGCACATTGGTAAAATGAGGTTAGTAATTAGTAAAGTGAAAAGAGACAGAATACTGGGTTTGAAGGACAACTCTATCACTTAGATAAAATGACTTAACTTCTCTGAGTCTCAGTATTCCCATCTCTAAATGAGGTCAATAATACTCTTCACTCAAAACTGTTGTAAAAATCAAATGAAAAAATCTTGCATGAAAGAAAGTGACCCAGCTCATGTCAAATTACAGTCACAAATATAAACCTGAATCAGTGCCCATAGAGCAATAAAAATATTCTGAACAATTAACCCAAAATACTCACAAATAGATGTAAAATGTTAACTGGCATAATTTCTAAATCAAATAAGTGCCAATTAAACACCATTTTCCAATCTACTAAACTGCCCAAAATAAAAATAAACTATCATGTCCACAGCTGGCAAGATTAAAAATAGAGTCCTATCAAAAACCTGGGTTTCTAGGTGTGGGTGGGGGTGTGTGTGTGTGTGTGTGTGTGTGTGTGTGTGTGTACACACACATACCCACAAGATTAAAAGCATTGATTCAAACAGAAACTTGTACACCAATATTCACGGCAGCATATTCTTAACAGCCAAAAGATGTAAATAATTCAAGTGTCCAACAAAAGATGAATGGATAAACAAATATGGCTGTATAGAGAAAAGACTATTATTAAGCCATAAAAAAAGGAAATTCTAACACATGCTACAGCATGGATGAACCTTGAAAACATTAGGTTAAGTGAAATAAGCCATACTGTGAAAGGACAAATATTGTATGATTCCACTTATGGGGTAGCTACAATAGGCGAATTCATAGAGACAAAGTAGCTGGGAAGTATAGAGGGATGGGGAGTTATTATTTAATGGGTATTTTTCATACCCATTCTGTTCAGGATGATGAAAAAGTTCTAGAAATAAATAGTACAGATAGTTACACAACAATATGAAATTTATTTAATGCCATTGGATTGTATACTTCATAATTTTTAAAGATTTTATTTATTTATTTTCCAAGACAAGGGATGGGAGGGAGAAAGAGAAGGAGAGATACATCAATGTGAGAGTAGAATCATTGATCAGTTGCCTCTGTATGTGCCCCAGCCAAGACCAAACCTGCAACCCAGGCATGTACTCTGACCAGCAATCACACTGGTGATCTTTTGCTTTGCGGGAGGATGCCCAACAGAGCCACACCAGTCAGGGCTAAAATGGTAAATTTTATGTTAGGTATATTTACCACGACAAACAACCAACCTTGAATGTCATCCTTGGTTCCTAACTCAAGAGCCAAATCTAATCCATCAGCAAGTCTTAGTGATTTTTCTTCTATTCCCAACTTCCTCACCCATCCAAGCCACTATCACCTCAATTCAGCCATTGCAACAGTCCAACTGATTTCCTAGGTTCACCTTTCAATCCATTCCACATATAACAGCAGCACTGCCTCTAAAGCTCTGCTTCTGCCTCCCTCTGCCTATCTCCCACTTGCCTCCTCTGATATCAATCCCTCCTACCATATTCTGGTCTCTTTCAAATCCTCGCACTACTTCAAGTTCTTTCTGGCATCAGGGCCTTTTCACATTTCACTTGCTCTTCTGTTTTTCTGGCCTACTTTTCCTTGATGTCTGGATCTGTCCCATCTTTCAGTCTTAACAGCGCCTTAGATCATCCCTGGTTACCCCAACAGCGGGTTGAGCACCAGCCTGCAAACCAAAAGTTTGCTGGTTCAATTCCCAGTCAGGGCACATGCCTGGGCTGTGGGCCAGGTTGCCAATTGGGCGTGGACAAAAGGCAACCAATTGTTTTTCTCCCTCTTTCTCCCTCTCTTTCCCTCTCTCTAGAAAATAAAATCTTTGAAAAAACCCCCCAGTAAATCCCTCTGCTCACCATTATCAAACATCACAACATCAAACTCTGCCTCTATCAATGCATTTACCACATTTGCAATTATGTTTGTTTATTCATTTGTCATCTGTCTCCTATGATTACAAACATCAGGAGGACAGGATCAATGTGCAGCGCCAATCTTAAGGCTGACACACAGTACACATTCCGAAAATGCATAGTTGAATAAATGATGGCGTAAAATCCTCTTAAAATATTCCATTGAGATTTTTATTGGGATTGTAGGTTAAGGGCAGGTATTGACGCATCTTTGAAAGTAACAAAAACCGCTTTAATCGGTTAAAAAAAAAAATCACACCCCTCCCCCCCAACCCCGCCCCTCCCCCCCAACCCCGCCCCGCCGCGCCGCACCCTCCCCTCACCCTCCCGCAGATTGTGAACAGAGCAGTATCGTGAAGTGAATGGTGTTTGGGAACACTAATCAGATTGAAAGAGCCCAGAAACCTGGGTGGATGTCTTTTCTTCCCCTTAACTAGGTAGAAAACAGAAACAATGGCATGTGAAATAACGACTCTGAAAGCGAACATTTGCTATTACAAAATAAGAATTTCTTGGAAAACAATCACGAATCCCTCCTGCTTTGTTCTGAGGGCTATTTTTATTCTTTTCTCTTTTACCTCTGTATCTTGGGGTTGGAGTATAAATACTTGCAACCTCTTCGGAGTCGTTAATCTCTAGGCGCTCATCATATGTCTGGTTTTCAACAATTTTGGTCTAAGCAAAAGGAAACATGATTACATAGCTCATATTATGGGACATTAAGCATTCTGTGGAGAGGTGCGATTCCAAAACAGCATTGGTCCTCCTCCTTACCCAATTCACCCCCGTTCAAACTTTCCTTAAGGCTTCTTGGTCTTACGGCAAGCTGTTAAGTCAATCTGCTGCAGCCCATATATAGGAACTGCTGACAGGCTGGCTGAGGAAGGGGAGAATCGAGGAGGGAAACAACAGCTAATTTCTGCACCAGCTCCCCAAAGCTGTTAAGATACACCCGCAGTGGGTGGCATAACAGTATTTATCTGCAGACGGCTGCTCTCTCCTCAGGTTTCCCCAGTTTTCCCAAGGCTGCCGAGGTTTCTCCGGGAAGGCTGTAGAGACTCTATAAAAGAGAGTTCTGCCTCTGGGGTCACTCCGTTTACCGGAAGTGAGGGGAAGCTCCAGTCTCTCAGTCCCATCCAATAATCCTGAAAGCAACACTGCCGTTTCCCACCCTCCATCCCTGTCTTGTAGGTCAGATGACGAAGAAAAAGCAGGATGATTGGTGGTGGCGTGAAGAAAGGAAAGAAGGAAGAGTTGTCATGGAGATGAGAAAAGATTGGGGAGCGACTGGAAGAAGGAGAGTGCTCTTAAATTCCTCTTGGGAGGGAACAAGGCAGTTCTCTTTCTGCTAGTATAAGTACATATTACCTGTAGCCCCTCTGACTCCGTCTCCTCTATATGCAAACAACCCCGGCCTACGGCTGGGGTCTCACTCCGGTCTCCGGCCCGGCCACTGCAGGGATTCTACTTGGAGGAACTGGCCTGTTGTCAGTCGCTAGGTAAAAATAAATAAATAAGTAAATCTTAAAAATCGCGGGACTTGCTTTCACTCTCGTGAGACCTTCTCCACTAGCGCGTCACCTGTCTTCCTGCGAAGGATGCAAGGATCAAAAGCTGCACGGAAAAAGCCTCTCTGGGCGATCAGGTCGCCTGTTTGTCTATGGTTTCAGGAAACGCATTAAATGCGTTTAATGCGCCTGTGGCGGCATCCAGCGGCCATGGATGGCAAAGCTGGGCGATGAATTTAGGTTCATATAGTTAGCTCTTCAGTCTGGAAATACTTTCAGCAAGTTCTTCCCTAGGCGAAGTACCATTGGTCATGCAGTTCCTCTAAATCAGTCTATTCAGAACCTAAGCAAAATCTCTACGGAATAGTCCCACAACTTTTTTTTTTTTTTTAGCATTTATATTGCATCATAGTCAACCTGCATGGTATTCCATGCGTGGGACATAGCTTACCCTAACAAATTATTCGTTATTTATCTGAGGTTCCAGTTTAATCAGATGTCTATTTTTATTTGCTAAAGAAGACTGAGGTTCTCTAGGGCAGGGTCTGTGTCTCATTAATTTTTAAGATCTTCATAGTATCAGTGCACTGCATAAATTAGGTGCTTTAAAAATACTGGGTGGATGTATGAAGGAATGAGTAAATAAAGTTGTAAGGAACAAGTATTTTAAAACTATGGACATAGTTACTTTTAGAAATCAGAGAGAGAGGAACAAAGAAAAGAGTGTTGGTAATTTCACCCTGAAAACCTGCCAAGGGAAAATGGCAAAGTGTCTTTTAAAAGGAAGATGAGATATGCATTTTTTTATACTCTTTTGGCTAAAAATGGACTGCAAACATTTTACATTTTTGGGTCATCTGTTATTGTTAATAATAATGAATATGTATTACCCTGACTCGTGTGGCTCAGTTGATTGGGCATCTTCCAGCAAAGGGAAAGGTCACTGGTTGGATTCCTGATCAGGGCATATGCTTGAGTTGTGGGTCCTGTCCGGTCAGTGGTAGGAGAGGCCACCAATCACATCGATGTTTCTCCCCCTTTCTTTCTCCCTTCCTCCCCCTCTCTCTAAAAATAAATAAAGTTAACAAAAATAATGGATATGCATTCTTAAGCACTTTCTATGTAGGAGCACTTAGATTACATAATCTTATTTATTAATATATTCTCTACTTCACAACTTGATGAGACCAATGTTGCTGCCAATTTACAGATTAGGTAATTGAGGCTTAGGGAGAATTAAAGGAACTTGCCTAAAGTCACTTAGCTAGTAAGTGCTGAAAGTGGGAGTCAAACACAGGCTAGTCTAATTCCCAACTATCTGCTTTTAACCATTATGATATACTGCCTCTAAGGTACTTCTAACAAAGCATGCTTGCAAGGGTGCTTTTCTTTTAATCTAATTCAGTAAATGTCATATTTCTAAAGAAGCTGTATCAGTTGGCCTTTGCGATCTTTGGTGGTCTACATTGAAGGCCCTGGAAGCCTTCATAATAAAATAATAATTTCAGGCACAATTTTTACTTTTTTTAAAATTAGGAACTTGTTTGTCCTTTTTAAAAAATGTATAATTTTTATAACAAAAGTAAACAATGCAGTTTGATACATGAGTATACCCTTTCGGACATGCAAAGTTTTAAAATATGGAAGCGTTGTAATACTTCTACTAGAAAGCCACTGGAAATTTGAAATGAGTAAGAGTGAGAATTACATACTGCAGTGCTTAAGGGTACAGGTTCTGAAGTTGAGCATCCTTTGTTTCAATCCTAGCTTTGTTGCTTTCTTGCCCTGAGACCTATAGTAGATTAGTTTTCCTCTTTATACCTTGCAAAATAAAAAATATTAATGGTTCCTTCATATCTCAGAGAATTCTTGTGAGGGTTAAATAAGATAATCTGTGAAGTATTTAGAGTAATGCTTGGTATATTGTTCTTTTTTAAGATTTTATTTATTTATTTTTAGAGAGAGGAGAGGGAGGGAGAAAGAGAGGGAGAGAAACATTGATGTGTGAGGGAAATGTAGACTGGTTGCCTCTTGCATGCCTCCAACTAGGGACCTGGCCTGCAACCCAGGCATGTGCCCTGAATGGGAATCCAACCAGCCACGCTTCAGTTAGCAGGTGCTCAATCCACCGAGCCATACCAGCCGGGGCTTTTTTTTTATTAAGATTTTTAAAATGTATTTTTAGAGAGTGGAGAGGGAGGGAGAAAAAGAGGGAAAGTAGAGTAATGCCTGGTATATTGTAAGTGTTCCATAAACATCAAGGAATACATAGGAGATATAGAGAGACAGGTGTGTCAAAATGAGAAAAGCTGGGTTTGAATCCTGGTTCTATCCCTTACTAACTTTGTGAGTCTGGGCAAGTGCTTAACTTCTTTGATCCTCAGTGTCTTTATCTGGATTGTTGTAAAAGATAAGAGATAACATGAATAAAGTACCTTACACAAAATAAGCACTCAGTAAAAGTTTGCTGTTTACCCATTATTACAGCAGTGGACAAATGCTGTAGAGTTAGCCAGTGATAAAATTATATAGGGAAGAACTGCTGAATCATGTGTACTCTAAGCCTGACATTTGGCATGGGAGAACTACCGGTACCAACAAAATCAGAAGACTGGATTTGACACTTGTTTCCATTATATACTGGCCTAGAACTTTGGGTAAATTTCTTAAATGTGTCATCATTTAAAAAAATTTTTTACCTGAGGACATGTTTATTGATTTGAGAGAGAGACAGAGAGGAAGGGAGAAAGAGAGAGAAAAATATCAATAGGCTCCCTCAGGAACTCGTCGAAACCACAGATTCGAGCACCAGATGGGGACTGAACTCACAACGTAGGTATATGCCATGACCCAGGTGGAACCCACAACCTTTTGGTGTATGGGATGATGCTCTAACCAACTGAGCCACCTGGCCAGGGTTTGCTGTCATTTTTTTCACCTAAAAAATGAATGTAAGCAAAGTAACTGCCCTAATTCCTGCACACTTAAGAAGAAAAGATGTAACCAACTCCAGAACATTTTCATCACTCCAAAAAACAAACTTCACTCCCCATTCCTCCCCTCTCCCACCCCCCTACAGCCTTACATTCTGTCTCTATGAATTCTCCTATTCTGGATATTTCATATAATGGAATCATGTAAGATGTGGTCTTTTTTGTGACTGACTTCTTTCACTTAAGATAATATTTTCAAGGTTCATCCATGTTGTAAAATGAATGTATCAGTACATTATTCCTTTTTATGATTCATCATTAAAAAAAATTTTGTTTTTCCTCCCCACACACCAGAGATTCAATTCAGAGACAAATTCATCCAATGCTGAATTCAACACAGGGAGCTAGACACAAAGAGAAGAATGATCCAGGGCCTGCAAAGTGACCCAGCCTCCCAACGTCAGGGGACACTGCCATCAAGACAGAGGACCCTGCTGTTAACATTCCCTGGGTCCTTGTCGAGGCCGAGGTTATACTGTTTTGTACCTGCTTTTGCCCCACACGTTTCTGAAATGTGACTTGGATTTATAGCTTACGTCACCTTATCATTGTGGGAAAGCTCATGTCCTTGGGATAATATTTTGTTTTCCATTCACTTATTATGGGCATTTGGATTGTTTCTACTTTTTGGCTGTTATGAATAATCATCCTACAAACATTTGTGTACATTTTTTTGTGTGGACTTGTTTTTAATATTCTTGGGTATATATACCAAGGAGTAGAATTGCTGGGCCATATCGTAACTATGTTTTAACTTTTTGAGGAACTAGCAAAGTATTTCAGAAGTAGCTGCATTATTTTACACTTCCACCAGGTGTGTGCGAGAGTTCTATTTTCTCTATTTTCTTACCAACATTATTATTGTATCCATTCTAGTGGGGATAAAGTGGTCATTCTGATTTTGGTTTTGATTTGCATTTTTCTAAGGACGTTGAGCATCTTTTCTGCGCTTATTAGCTGTATGTATAAACCTTGGAGAGAAACGTCTACTGTGCCCATTTTAAAATTGGATTATTTTTCTTTATTGTTAAGTTGTAAGAGTTCTTTATATATTCTGATACTAGTCCCTTACGCACACTGGGTTATTTCATATTAAATGATATAGTGGCTGTGGGAGCATTATAAACTGTAAAACGTGTCACAAATTAAACAAGAACGCTGACAACATATGAAGGGACAGGAGGCTGAGGTCCCTCCGCTACCAGAGGCTCCTGGCCTCCCCGGCCAAACCTCAGCTCAGCTAGCTACGCACAATTTCCCCTACCCATGTCGCCCCGCCCTCCGCCCTTTGACCTACGCCGTTTCCGGTTGGAGACGTGGCTCAGGGCCGCCATCTTGGCAAGAGGTGAAGCGGCAGCGGCTTCTGTGAGGGGGGACCGCAGGTCCAGAGTTGCTGGTGTTCTTTTCCCCCCGGTCCCAGCCCTAGCCCCAGTGGAACACGAGCGCGAGTGCGCCCCACCACCGTCCTCAGCATGGTAAGATTTGAGCCAAGCCGAATTCCCCGGTCCGGCCTCGCTCGCCCGCTCTGCCTGCCTGACGGCCTGGTGCTCAGGCCAGAGGAACCCTTCCCCGGCGGCTTAGGAGCCGGCACTTCCCTCGCTGCTCCGGGAGCAGCTCTGTGCCGGACATCCCGGGAGATCCGAGGGACCTGACTCTTGTTCGTCTGTCGTAGTACCCACACCCCTCACTGCCACAGTTGGGCACCTTCGTCTGCTGAGACCCGGGCTCTGGAACCGGTCGGGGTTTTTGCTTTGCGAGAACCTCGTAGCGGTGTCGCTTGGACCCCACGCTGCGGTCCTGGGCCCAGATGTCCAGCATGTTCTGTGGGTGCCTAGGTTCAGCAGGCTGGACCTCTCTCCAGGCATTCCCTTCCTTTAATCAGCTTGCCTCCCATCATCGGTGTTCCATAGGCCATTAATGTTCGAAATCCATACCCCTTGGCGTTCAGGACTTTATCTGTTTGTTCGAAAGGGGGAAACAAAGGAAAGTTTGAAAGAAGGCATGGAACAGGAAGGAGTCATTTCTAACACTACTTTGTAGACCCAGGTGTCCCTGAGACCTTCCACTATTTCCACAGAACTTAGGTGTGTCCATTTGTCACTGAGATCGAATAAACGCAGTGTATAGAGTATTGGGAATATATGAACGAGTAGTAAAGAACACAGGCTTTTGGTCTTCTAGAAAATTATTGTTAAGGTGAAGTAAAATGTGTATGTGGCACATTACAGTAAGAAGGGGTTATACTCTACGACTTGGGATACATTATCTTTGTGTTCTTTGCTCTGTGATACATTATCTTTGTTCTCAATTATTGTAGAGATGGGAGAAATTAACGTGGGTGAGGATGGGACGAAACACCATGCCGACTCCACTAAATCTTGCTTTATCACTACAGTTTGTGGATATTTATGAAGTAGGAGAAATTCTTTGATTCCACACGAGCTAGTAAAGTATTTTTTTTAGTGCACTTAGTCTTTTGTAGAAAGTTTTTTTTCTTTTTTTTCTCCATTTGTTGGTAGATTAATAATTTGATTTAAAGCATCTTCCAACGCACTGGAGAGATGACAGTGTAATCCGGTGCCAATCATATTAAGTTCCATTGACAGTCTTTTAGATGAGAACTTGGATGGTGAGGGATTCCTGTTTGGGCTTTCAAACACTGAAAAGGTTTTTCCAGCTTCAGGCACATAAATTACATCATGCAGGTTTGCCTCATAAAACTTTAATGTTGGACATAAGATTTCCAGAATCTCTTTTTTTTTTTTTTGTTTTGTTTCCACTATGATGCTCAGTGTTTGGATAGTGATTTTTTCCTTTTACATCCTGGATGTATTTGTAGTGCATTTTAGAGCATATTATAATTTAAATAGCAAAATAAAAGCCTTGTGTTACATAAATCAAATACAGATAATCTTTATGAAAAGATGTTGGGGAAGTTCTTGGAACTTAGTACAGCAACTACTCACTTAATGTCATCAGTAGATTCTGGGACTTTAAGTGAAATAGCATATAACAAAACCAGTTTTACCGTAGGCTGATTGACATAAGAGTTAAGTTTGCATGGCATCTCATCAACATTTTAATCAAATGATCTTGAAATGATGTTATTTGGGGACCTGCAGAGAGAGAGAGAGAGAGAGAGAGAGAGAGAGAGAGAAGGGAAAGAGAAAGAGAAAGAGGAGGAAGGAACATCAACGTGAGAGAGAAACATCAATCTGTTGCCTATCATAGGCACCCCGACCCCCCTACCCCCCAACTGGGGGACTGAACCTGCAACCCAGACATGCGCCAGGACTGGGAATGGAACAGGTGACCCCACCTTTGCAGGATGACACCCAACCAACTGAGCCACACCAGTCAGGGCTTGGGGACCTGCAATATTTTAAATTGATTGATAACCGAGGGATGGTAAAGTTCTAGGTGTTGAGTGGTAAAGTACAAAAGCTGCATGATATTTGACATATATAGTTGTGTCATGTATAAATATGCATCTGTTTCTGAATTATTTTGGGACTTGGTATGATCTGCAAACCCACAGATTTGTGTATTCTGAAGCACAACAACTCAGTACATTCTGCTCCGTTGAGTCTTAAGATATTAAGTATTATTTCTGTGTAATGTTTTTGGGTCCTATTTCTTTACGAAGATATCCCTGCACAGTAAAAATGTCCAAATAAGGTGACAATTTATAAGAGTTTTTGAATCTAAAATTTGTTTCAAAACTTCTGAAAGATTTTTTTCTCAACATTTTATTTTTATTTTTTTAAAATATTTTATTTATTTATTTTTAGAGAACAGAAAGAGAAAGAGAGGGAGAGAAACATCAATGTGTGGTTGCCTCTTGTACGCTTCCCACTGGGAACCTGGTCTGCAACCCAGGCATGCGCCCTGACTGGGAATCGAACTGGTAACCCCTATGGTTTGCAGGCTGCCACTCATTTCACTGAGCCACAACAGCCAGGGCTCGTCTCAGCATTACGTTTAAAATCTACTGGTGTGGCTCAGTGGATTGAACAGAGTGCCAGCCTGTGAACCAAAGGTCACAGATTGGATTGCCAGTCAGGGCACATGCCTGGGTTGTGGGCCAGGTCCCCGGTTTAGGGTGCGCAACCAGCAACTGATTTATGTTTCCCTAGCACAACCATGTTTCTCTCTCTCTCTTTTTTTCCCCCCCTTCCCCTCTCTTTAAAAAAATAAATAAAATCTTAAAAAAGAAAAATTTTTAAACATCTAGAAAAGTTGAACTTTGTAGTGAACACCCATATAACCACCAATTAGATTCTTTAGTTAATATTTCACTATACTTCGAATCATTCATCCATTCCTCTATACATCTTTTTATGAAAAATAGATTTCCTATGGCTTCAGTCACTGAATTTAGTACAAAATGCCCTATACTGTGAAGTCCTAGTAGAAAAATAAATGAACAAATGCAAAACAAATGGCTTATGATGACCTTGTTATAAAATTAAGTATAAAAAGGGCATCTTTTGATTTTTTTCTAGTTTTCTACAAATCCGAACATGTTCTTATTTTCTTAACATTTATCAAGTATCATTATCGTCTGTTCTTTTTCTTAATAAATTTGATATTAAGTCTCATGGTAACACCAATATGTAAAATCTTTGCTTTTCTACAGAAAGCTGTTCTTTTCTTAATAAGTATAGGAAATGAGTAAACTTACTGTACTGTCCACATTAAATATAAATGATAACATTAAGTTCAGTTCCCAAAAATTACCGGTTATTTAGAAGGCTAGATTTGGGTTTATATGGCTGACCTACAAACAATGGGGGGAGACAAATCCTGCACAGTAATTGCTGTCCCCAATTAGGGGATTATTGCCTCCCTCCCCCTTTCTTTCTTTCTTTTTTAAGATTTTATTTATTTTTTAGAGAGAGGAAGAAAGAGAGGGAGAGAAACATCAATGTGTGGTTGCCTCTTGCATGGCTGCCACTGGGAAGGGACCCGGCCTGTAACTCAGGCATGTGCCCTGATTGGGAATTGAACCAGTGACCCTTTGGTTTGCAGGCCTGCGCTCAGTCCACTGAGCCATAGCAGCCAGGGCACCCTGTCTTTTTCATATACAGTACTGCAACTCACAGCTATTGTATTTTTTTGTTAACTTCTATTTTTTGAAGGAGAAAGAGAAACATAGGTTTGTTGTTCTGCTTATTTATGTATTCATGTATGTGCCCTAATTGGGGATTGAACCTCTAACCTTGGTGTATTGGGATGATGCTCTAACCTGGCCAGGACCTTCTGTGTCTCTGTCTCTCTCTCTCTCTCTCTCTCTCTCTCTCTCCCCCTCCCCCCCCCCGCTTTTTTTTTTTTTTTAAATTTTAGAGAGGGGAAGGGAGGGAGAAAAGAGGGAGGGGAACATCAATGTGAGAGAGAAATGTCAAAAAATGAAAATGATTTTCTTGTGTTTCCACTAATTTTCCATTTATTTATTCTTCAAACAGGAAGTTCACTGCAGAAGCTGCAAATGATGCTTTTTTATTTTTATTGTCTACAAGTTTTTGCTTTAGAAGAGAAACTTGTGATCAGCTTAAAACTTACTGAGTCACCTTTCAAGTTTTAGGTTTTGTATATGACCTAGATTTCATTTTAATCTTCACTCTGATTTTATCTGTAATTACATCACGCAAACAGGAAAGAATTGTAGAAACTATCCTTAACGTGATCATGAATTACGAAGGAAAAAGTGATTGCTTAATTTGGAAGTGAGGAATACTGAAGTATTTAGGGGTTGGAGGATGTCCTTGACTTTTTTCTTTGAGGAATTGTGCATATTCCATATGTTTATGCTGACCTGTTATCTTTGGACCTCTATCAACCACTAGTAGGGATGAAGGATGATAGGCAGCTATCTATTTCACACATATATTATACATACATAATTTGTTTTAGTCAGGCAGTTTGCATTCCATGAACTTAACATTAATGTAAAATATATCAACAAAGTAGTTTCTATTGGAGCATTGGGTGTGAAGTAGAGGTATTGTATGTTTTCTATTGTTGTAAAGTTTTCAAATACTTAGACTTACAGAATGTTAGAGATGAAAAGACACTTTAGATTTCATATAAGCTAACCTCCGATTTAGGGATATTTCAAGTAGTAATTAAGTGGCTTACTAAAGGTCATATAATTAGTGGTAGAGGCAGAACAGAAACCTAAGTTTCCAGGTTTCTTTACTGAAGAAACTTTCTGATCCACGTAGTTAAATCTGGGTAGGGGAGAGTTGTTTAATTCAAAAACAAAGAACAGTGTACACAACCCCTTGTAAATATTATTAAGAGAAAGGTTGTTTGACAAAGTTTAACTTAATGGATAATTTGTGTTTTTAAACAGTCCTGGAGAATCATTTAACTTCTGGACCCTAGTTTTTTACATCTGTAAAACAATCAAGGGTTCTTGAAAGTTCCTTATAAATGTAAATATTCTTTTCCAAAAATGTAAACAATAAATAAA